AAAAAAAAAAAAAACCAAACAATCAATAGAGAGGGATGGAGAGACCCCCCAGACCTTCCCAGGATATAGATGCTGGCTGGTACATGCCACAGAAGGGAGAAAATTAACACTGACACACACTCACACACATCACACGCGCGCGCGCGTGGGATACAATATACCTTTTTCTTTCTTTTATTACTTTATTAATTAGAGATGAGGCAGTTGAGACATATATAGGGAATTTTTTGTTTGTTTGTTTTTTGTCATACTAGAGATTGAACCCAGAGTCTTGTCCATGCTAGGCAAGTACTCTACCACTGAGATATCCCCAAAGCTCCTTACATAGGGTGTGTGTTCTTTTTGTTTTTGCAGTGCTGGGAGCTGAACACTGGGCCTTGTGCATGCTAAACATGTGCTCCACCCTTGAGCTATACCTGTAGATCTCTTTCCACTAGTTTGTAAATATTTCTTTTCTTCTTTTAAATAAGGACACTACTGGGATTTAGCTCAGTGGTTCCACCCCCTGCCTTGCTAGCGCAAGGTCCCGAGGTCGATCCCAGGTACCAATAAAGAAAAAAAAAGTTCTCAAGTCCTGGTAAAATAGTCACCAACGACTGTACATCTTGGACCTTGGTTAGATCCCATGTTACACTGTTTCGTGCTGTGAAGGTCTTGTTTCACACACATAAGCATAATTTTCCCAACTAGACCACAAGTTCTTCAAGGTTGAAAGCCCCCTGCCCCATCCACCGCCACGACAATCCTTTACATCTCCCAGAGCAGACTTTGATCTAAATTGGATCTAAACTGACTGGAAATGTCAGGAAGAAGAGATGAATGCCAGCGCCCTCCCCTCTCCTCCTGGCCTTGGTCCTCTGAAGGTGACAGGGGCCTGTGGCACTGGGACAGATGCTGGGGGCACTGCCGAGAGCCCCCCACTGGAACAGCCTCCCCCTCACCTCCCTTTGCTGACATCTGTGCTTGGGCTTTGTGGAGCAAAACAGGAGAGAGGCTGAGATGACACGGATAGAGCTCCAGGGCACAGATGGGGCCAGGCTCAAGACATTCCTGACAGCTCCTGATGGGACGCAGCCAGGGTTGGCCTCCTCGGCAGGGTGGATGAGATTGAACAGAGCACTCGGAGGACGGGGGCCTGGACCTCACCCCTCTCTGGCCACTGTGCAGTGTGTGACTGCAGGTGGTCCGCTCGCTCCTAGATTCAACTCCTGTCCTGCACTTTAACCCTGGGCCAGAAATACTATCTTTGGAGCCTTGGGCTTGTTGTCTATAAAGTGGGGATTAAAACATTTCCCACAGGACTGGGGTGAGAATTAGGAATAATACATGTGAAGTGCCTCATGCTGCTCCATCTCTGCGCTTCCTCTATCCCTGTCCCAAGCTGCTGTCAGAATCAAAGGAGATGAAGCTCAGGACAGGGCCGGAGAATGGGACGGGCCCCAGGGCTCCCGAAGCCCAGCGCTCTCTGGTACACACTCCCTCGCCTTCTGCTGGGCCTGTACAGCTCACCTGTCTCCCCTGCATGGAGAAAGTAAGGGAGCCTCACACCGTACTTGTGTGGAATCATCAGAGCCTCCTTGTAGAAATACAGGCTGTGGCCGGTGTCTTCCCACCCGACCTGCAGGGTGAAGAGGAGGAACCTGAGGTATCTGCTTCGTACCAGCCTCTTTGCTTTGCGGGCGGTGTGCCCCAAAACCCAGGCACAGCCTTCCTGTGCCCTGCTATCTCTGTTCTGTCACACAGTCTTTTAAGAATGACCAGGATCATTCGAGAGATGCAAATGAAAACAATGCTGAGATTCCACCTCCCTCCAGAAAGAATGGCTGCTATCATGAAATCAACCAATAACAAATGCTGGCGGGACTGTGGGGAAAGAGGAACCCTGCTCCACTGCTGGTGGGAGTGTAGACTGGTGCAAGCACTGTTTAAATCAGTATGGAGATA